TCAGCATAGTCTCGAAGTAAGAGATGATCAAGAGGAGACCAAACCGAGCACGTTTTGAGACATCCTTGGCGTTTAGACTTCATAGAAATATCCTCAACAATGGCTTATCTGGCTGGAGACATCCTCGACAAATCCCTTGTTTCGCTTGCGACATCCACAAACTGTTGCTTATTTCGCTTGAGACACCGTCAAACTATTGCATATTTCGCTTAAGAAACGTATCGTTTCGCTTGAGACATCCTTCAGTATGTGCTTGTTTCGCTTGAGACATCCTCGAGTAGATGGTTGTTTCGCTTGAGACATCCTCGGAATAGCTCATCCGCCTCGGTGTCCCTGGACAATCAACCGCGGCGATAATAAAGTTCAGGCGGGCGGAGGAATGGAGAAAACGATATACACAAACAAAAATAAAACGAAACAATAAGAAATGAAAAAGAACAAGGGGGACAAAAAAACAAAAAGACAAGAAAACAGAGGAGGAGCAGAAAGAGAAGGAAACATCTCAAGTTCAAATGTATTAGATTTTATTTACAAGCGCTTTATGAAAATTAATTGTTTAAGTGCTCGTGTAGGGTAGCTCATGTGCTTCATTTTCCATGGATAATACCCCCAGGGATAAAAACAGTTCAGAGGGGGGGGGGGGCATGGAAAGAGAGAGAGAGAGAGAGAGAGAGAGTAAGAGAGATACATCACAAAGAAAAAGAAAGGAAGGACTTAAAGAGAGAAGATATATTTAAAAAAAGTCGAATAATAAATGAAAAGGATAAAGAGAAGAGAAAGGATAATAAAACAAAAAAACTGAAGATTCAAATGTTATTTACAAGCGCTTTATGCAAATTCAAATGTTTAAGTGCTCGTGTAGGGTAGCTCACGTGCCTCGTTTTCCCTGGATAACCAACCCCAGCGATGAACAAGTTCAGGGCGCCAGGGGGAGGAGGAGGAGGAGGAAGAGATAGAGAGACAGAGAGAGAGAGAGACAGAGAGGCCAGGAAGGAGACAAATATAGAGAGACAGAGAGAGAGAGAGAGAGAGAGAGAGAGAGAGAGAGAGAGAGAAAGAGAGACAGAGAAAGAAAGAAAGAGAGACAGAAATGACTACAAACAGACAGAAGGACATTGGTTTCGCTTGAGACATCCTGAAACAACGCGTTCGCTTCGCTTGATGTTGCTATCTCAACATAAGAAGGAAGTAACTTCGATGGCGAACTTTTCCCGTGATAATGAAGTTCGGCCTCCGCGCCCCCGCGCCCCCGACCAAACTCTTATTGGTCGACGATAAAAAACTCTAACGACTTAAGGGGGGGGGGTTAACATTATTATCGTGGGCATGGGGTTATGTTTTCACAAACGTATCGGTATGTGTATATATAGATACGCACGGATAAACATGATGGTACTCATACCGACAGATATATATATATATATATGGGTGTCCTGCATCGATAGATCGATAAACCGGTCGATGGATAGATGGGTAGGGAGGTGCGCGACAATTGGATAATTAAAGTAATGACCAAGGAACCAAGAACCATCGCAAATGAACCGCCTCCCCCTCCCCCCCCCCTCCACCTCCTCATCACCCGTAAGATGGCCCTATTGGTAAGTATTGTTGAGCCACCTCACCTGCGCACATTGCACTGCTCGGTGAAAGCACCCCCGTCGGGACTCGCACCCTGTTTTTCATCAAAAAACGAACCGGCTGCCCCGGATACTAAGCACTGAGAGATCACAAATATCGGGAGCCGGGCGTTGATATTCCACGATTTTCCCGGGGTGATGGGATGTTAGTTATAAGCTATGGTGATGATGATGACGATGATGATGATGATGGTGATCCTGGGCGCTCGTGTAGACTGGCCTTGTAGATCTTGGCGCAAACCTGACTCGATGGATCTCGAGGCTCGTGGCTACAAGTTGCCTGCGCAAGAGAGGTCCTTGGCGCTTCTGGCCAAGAAACCTCTCTTGCGCACGGCTTCAAACCACACGTCCCTGACTCGGGAACGGCTGAGAAAGTGAGAGCCCCACATTGGTGACTTGGGCAAACTGAACTGGCGAGAATCCCGCAGCCCTGCCTCACGCTCGTGATTGCGGAAGCTGATATGATGAGACCACCATGGCCATGCTCAGGGTGTTTGATGCTGCTGCTAGTCAACATGAGATGGTAGCAACTTCGATTCGCAACTTCCCCCGTGGATTATCAAGTTCGGCCTCCGCGCCCCTTTCCACAATTGAATCGTACTGATCTGGGTTTAAAAAATAGAGGGGGTGAAGGGGGGATGATCTATTATCCGGGGCAGTCGGTTACTCCTGCTCATGCTGGGTGGTTGGGCCCCCAGCTGCAGCATCAACACAACAATAATACCAACAACAGCATCGACAACACCAAAAACAAAAACAACAACACAAACACCAACATCACTACAACCACAACAACAGCACCATTCACTGCAGCAGCAGCAGCACAAACAACAGCAACCTCAACCACAACAACAGTGCAAACAAACAACACCAACAACAACCACAACAACAACAACAGCAGCAGCAACACCAACACCAACAACAACAGCAGCAACGGCCCCCCGCCAAATACCTCCTCACATGTATTCCAATCTCGCGCTCTCGCGCAGGACGTCCTCACAAATTATCAAAGAATCGCGTTGTCGCGTGGGACGCCCTGGCAATTTATTCAGACGCCGCGCCCTCGACACTCAGGAATCACGATCTCGCGTTAGCGCTCCCGCGATTCAGTTCGGAATTGCGCTATTGCTTGAAACGTCCTCGGGACATGCAGGTCTCACGCTTAAGCATCCCGCGTGCTCGACCTGGCCGCCTGGGCCCGCCTCCCCGACCCGTCCGCCAGAGTCTGTCCTCCCGATATACCCGTCTGGTTCTGCCACGTGTTTTCTGTTCCTGGCCCCCCTCCTGCTATTCTCTCTCGTGTTCCATCCTCCTCCATCCCGCTTCCAGGCTTTCGGGGCTGCACAAAAGCATTGTGGCAGGTCAGGACGATATGCCCCAAAAGGGTTACGATCGAAGACGAAGAATACCGGCACCGAGGGATTGGGATATACGTGTTGAATTGCACGCGAACAGAAAGGAGCGAACAGTCTTCAAAAGATTGGTGGTGCTGTTGGTGTTGCTGTTGAATGTTAACTTCTACAGAGCAATTATTGTTGGTGCCCGGCTTGGAACGTGAGGCGTCACCAAACTGCACCCCTGGCCCCCGGTTTACAACAACAGCAGGAAACAACGGCTCCCGCCTGATACTTCCTCACTATGGATTCCCAAATCGCGCTGTCGCGCCGGACTGTGCTGAAATCGCGCTGTCGTGTGGGACTTCATTGCAATTTATTCAAACGCCGCGCCCTCGACACTCAGGAACCACGTTTTCCCTGAATTTCCATTGGGATATACGTGATGGATGGCACAGTCTTAAAATGACTGTTGTTGATGATGTGATGTGAACGTCCCTTCGGAGGGGATCGTCACTGGCCAAGGAGAAGTTCACAACAGCTCGAGAGGCCTTGAATTACCCGAGCAAGCACTGCAACGTGCGGACACCACCGGCAAGGGCAACAGAAGTAGAGAAAGGGCGAGCAGGGAGAGGGGCGGCGACAAAGAACGAGCGAGCGTCCGGGCAGGTCCCTGCAAGAGAGCCGCGGGGGAAGTCGCAGGCCAACGAGCGAGAGAGAGAGCCGACCAGCCATAACTGGGGGAGCTGTGGTCCTTACCCCCCTGGGGGAACCCATCGCATCGACGATCTCTCGATAGGGATGTCGAAATCGTGGGGTCCCCCCAGGGGGGTAAGGACGACAGCTCTCCCAGTCGTGGCAGGCCTGGAGAGGCAGCAAGGGAGCCCCCCCCCAGGTCTTCTCCCCCCCCCCCTCCGCCCGCTGACGCATCCACGGGCGTGCGCGCGTGCTGCCTGCCCCCCAACCCCGCGTTGGGGAAACCAAAGCGTGCAGTCAAAACGTGCATTGGGGACGGGCGATAGGGACGCAAGGCCCTTGGAGGCCGAAGTTTGGGCTCTTAGAAAGGGAAAACAAACCTACCTCGCTTTTGACCACCCTCGCTTCCAAGAGATACCAAACGATGCCAAACTACGGCCTGCGCTGGTCAGGCCTCTTGACGAGGAGGCGCGTGGTATGACTTGGTTTTGCCTGGAAACGAAAGCGGGGTAGGTAATTGACGCTCTGATTTTAGGGCGGCGGGCGACCAGTGATAGTGGCAAGGACGGGCCTCAGAGGCAAGGACACAAGGGTACCCTGGATGAAGGCGCGCGTCCTTCCTAGGCGCGTTGACTGTAAACACCGAAACTACCACTCCCCCGAGCTCCCCCGGCGCTGCGAGCTCGGACCGGGATCTCGCGACGCGAGTCCAGCCGCAGTGACCGGGTGGGGGGGCTGCCAGTGACGGCCCCCGGGACACGAACACGGGACGGGGCAAGGGCAGTGGTGTCGGCACCTTTTGCTCCTCTGAGCTCCTCCTCCTCCTCCTCCTTCCTCTCCTCCTCCTCCTCCTCCTCCTCCTCCTCCTCCTCCTCCTCCTCCTCCCCCTACTCCTCCTCCCCCTACTCCTCCTCCCCCTCCTCCTCCTCCTCTTGCTCCTCCTCCTTCGCCCTTTCCTCCCCATGCTCAGCTCCCGCTTCCCCAAGAGGGTCTGAAGTGACAAGAAACCAAAGGCACCTCGCCCTGCGAGGGGGGGCCACCCCGGAGGCCCCAGACGGCGAGGACTGTGGCTTCAGAGGCCTCCTAGATCGGGTGGGAGAAGATGAGGTCGGAGGATCGCGCCGCATCGCCCGTGCATCGCCGATGCATCGGCGATGCATCGGCGATGCTCCGGCGATACATCGTCGACGTCGGCAATGCGTCGGCGACGTCGACGTGAAGCAAGTTGGGCTGCACATCGAGCCGCATCGGCGAGGCATCGGCGATGCGGCGCGTTCCTCCGACACCATCTGCTCCGACCCATCCTGAGAGCCCGGGATGCTTGTGAGGGAGCTTGTGGCGGCCCGCGGTGGCCTCGCTCTCGGAGTCGGCTCTCTGAGGAGGCGCCTCGCGCGCAGGGTGGGGTGGGGGGGGGGGGGCAGTATGCGGACGACAGGGCGGAGGCCCCATGATGGGCCACTTTTCCACCACCACCTACCATAGGTAGGACGGGGATGGGGAGGTCCTGCACTCCCTCCTTCTCCTCCTCCCCCTCCCCCCCCCTCCCCCTCCGCCTCCTCCTCCTCCTCGTTCTCCTCCTCCTCCTCCTCCTCCTCTTCCTTCTCCTCCTCCTCCTCCTCCTCCTCCTCCTCCTCCTCCTCCTCCTCCTCCTCCTCCTCCTCCTCCTCCTCCTCCTCCTCCTCCTCCTCCCCATCCTGCCTCTGGTGGCGGTGGTGGAGCACGGGCTCCTCCGGCGAGGCACGCCGAGAGCGCGAGGGCCGAGCACGCAGCGCGTGGCCGAGGCAGCGCGCGGGCACAACGCCAAGGAGGGGCGGGCGGGGGACGTGCGCCGAGCCGCCCCCCCGCGCGGGGGTCCGGCAGACCTCTCTGGCTCGGGCGCGCACGCACGAGGCGTGCCACGCGCCACGCGCGCGAGGGCGAGGAAGAGTACAGTCGGGGCGTTGACCTAAGGAACGATAAATAAGGAACGGGGCCCCTTTTTCCCAGAAGTTCATCTCCGATTTTCCATGGAAAACCTGGGGGTAACCCAAGGAGCGCTGTAAAACAACTAAGGAACACGGAGCCCCTCCCAAACTAAAAGGGTTCCTTCTTCAGCGGCGCGACTGTAAAGACAGGTGGGGCGTGCCTGGAGGGGCCCCGGGACCCACAAACAAATAGACACGAGTAACAGGATTCCCCATGTTTCCCCAGATGTTCTGGCTTTTTTGTCTTCCCCCCACTTCCCATGGTTTCCCATATGCTCTGGGGAATCGAGGATTAATTGTGTCTGTGTGTTTTTGTTCCCCTCCTGAGTGTCCCTCTATAGGAGGAATGTTGAAAAATACTTAAAAATAGTGAGGGGACGATTTCTGTCATTTGTTTGATATGATTGAGCATATGTGGGGTATGTTCCGTTTTTCCCTCGGAATCCGCCTGTAGGGGGACATGCCCGACATAAGAGTAAAGCGACATGCCAAATGCGTGCTGGAGCAGGCGATGGCACACACACACACTCACACACACACACACACACACACACACACGCCGAACGCACGACGGAGTGACCTGGACGCGCCAACTGCGTGCCGAGAGGACGGAGAGACGGAGGACGGAGAACAAAGGACTGGCCTGGCTGGACACAGAAACCTCTGTGCCTCCAGCGCCTAAGGCGGCGTCACTTCAGCTAGAGCTGAGGCGGGGCAGACTTTGCAGTCCACCTGGCGTTGCAAATGTGGGGGGGGGGTACGGATGGCCAGACTCGTTCAGAATGCGATCTCAAACTCCACCGAGCGGAAAGGGCGAGTGGCTGCATTGAGGCGAGAGCACGTGCAAAAAACGCCCCGCTTGGTGAGAATGCTCGCGACGCCGGCGCACACACACACAAACACACGCGCAGCGACGACGCGGAGTAAAATTGGGCGGCGGTGCGTGTGCGGAGCCGGCCCCTCGGGTGAAATGGCTCTGTCTCCGCGCGCCTCACACAGACATGCACAGGCACGCGCGCGCAGAATCAGGAAGAAGGAATGATCATGGGAAGGAGAACAAGAGAAGTGTTCCTGACGGGCTTGTTTTCCACCACCACCACTACAAATCCGAGGGCGAGGGGGTCCTCCTCCTCCTCTTCCTCCTCATCCTCCATGGACTTCCCCCCTCCAACTCATGGTAGTGGTGGTGGAAAACAGGCCCATCAAATCATGATCTGATCGCGCTCTCCCTGCTCATTGCGTTACCCCGGCAGGCTTGCGCAACCGGTGAACTCGATGCGGCAGCGAACTCACACGGCTCGCGAGTTCCACGTGGACGCTCGGTGGGAATCCACAACGACGCGACATCCTCCGTGACAGATCGCCCGATTCCTCCGGGGCGAATTGCCGCAACCACTGATCCGCCACCGTGCCTGCGCACGCTGAGGCGTGGAAGAATGCCCAGTGCTGCCTGGCAGGGTTTCTGCAAACCGCTGCGTGCACCACCCCTACTCCTGGGCCTCCCTGGGCGGCCAAGACGCCTCACTGTCGCTCTCCAAGGCGTCCGAAACGCCCAAGCTGGCCTCCAAGACGGACATGGCAGATCACCAGGGCCGCCAAGATGGTCCAAGCAGCCTCCACGACAGCCTCTGGTGGCTCAAGATGGCCTCGAGGCGGTCCAACATGCCTCCAAGCCGGCCCGACGATGCCCAAATCATTGACTTCCCCATGGTTTTGACGTCGGCATTCTTCGCAATTTCGAGCTTTCATCGGCTCAAGACAGCAGCCCAGGACGCCTCCGAGATGGCGCAAGGCGGCCGAGGGCACCCAGAGGGTCCCAAGACAGCCCATGACGGCGCCAAGACGGTCCACGAGCGGCCCAAGAGGGCCCCAAGTCGGCCCCAAGCTTGCGCCCAGACGGCCCCATATGAATGTTCCCCAAGAGGGGCCCCAAAACGACCCAGAGCGTGACCCAAGATGGTCTCTGAAAATGCACATACGGTCCAAGACCGCCCTCAGTCGGCCCAAAGAGCTCCCAAAAGCCACAGAGGCGCCCCCCCAGGCGCTGCCGAGAAACCCCAAAAAGGCACCCAAAAAACCCTCGAGAGAACCCCCAGAACCTTCAAGAAGCCCGAAGTGTCACACTTGACAGCCTCCCGTGCCCCCTCGAATAGTCGCCACCCAACATGCTGGACTGGCACTGTGGCGGGACTTGCCACGGGAAGCTGGATTGATATGTCCATCCCCCGTCTCCCTTCCAGCTGTCGTCTAGAAGGCAAAAGGGCTGATCCACTTGTGGCGGCCTCAAGAGAACACGAATTACGAAACCAGCGCTGGGGGGAAGTGCAATCGGGATGGGGGATGCTACTTGAAATTGCTGCTGTCGGCACCCGCTGGGGGGTGCGCTTGATGATCACAGATCCATAACTGCTTACGGAGCTGCAGAAAAACTGCCCCCCTGCCGTCTGGCCCGACAGCCCGGAGCCAACTCCCCGCGCGCGCCAAGACCGCCCGCCACGCGCGATCCGACCCCCTTCACGTTCCGCGCTGGAGGTGCCCCCCCCCGTCCAGCCCCTCCCCGGCACGACTCCCCCCCGGCCCCGCCCTCACCCGCCAGTCGGCGTGTGAAAGACGCTCTTCCGTTGGCCGCCGTCGGCGTTGTCGTCGTCGTCGTCGTCGTCTCCATCGTCTCCTCGTCTCCGTCGTCGCCTCCGTCTCGTTCGTCTCCTCGTCGTCTCCGTCAAACGTCGTCTCCGTCGTCCCCCGTCTCCTTTCCCTGGGCCCTCCTCCGTAAACGCGCCGGCCAAAGCGACATTGAGCAACGTCGCAGCTGAGTCGGAGGGAGGCCCCTTGCCTTTGATCCCTTCCCCGCCGGGGGGGGGGGCCCTTGGGGTCGGTCCCGGGGGATGGGTCCTGGGGGGTGGGTCGCCACCCAGATGCGCATTCCCCCCCGGGCGGTTCCGGGGCCCAGAACAGCCGAAAGGCGCCGCAAAAGGGGCCCCCAAGACGGTCCTCGAGCGCCCCGAATCGCCGAACTACCGGTCCAAGGCGCCAAAATAGCCCCCAGAGTTATTTTTTTTCCCATCGACTGCCTCACAGGCATCAGTCCTCTACCCGGATGGCAAGCAGAATCCCAACCTCCCTGCGGTGCCGATCCCCGAAAACCTCCCCGGCAGCGCGCGCCTCGTTACGACTGATGGCCCCCTCGCTCGCAACCTCGTCCCAGCCACGCGGCGCCGAGCCGCTGGTCGCCATGAAGCAGATCGTCGCGTCCGTTATGAACGGCGGCTCGGGCTCGTAAGCCTCCGCCTGCACCTCCTGGTCGCCGAAGAGGTCGAACGTCTGCAGGGCCTCCGTGCGGTCTTCGACGTAGGGATTCGGGAGCAGACCACTTCGAGGCACCAGAGCGGCCCACTGCTGTCGCAGCGGAATGTCGGGCGTCAGCCGCACGACCTCGGTGGACACCAGCAAGCGCGTCCTGTGGCTGTAGACGTGCCTGGTGATCATGAGCTCATCGAGAAAGGCCACGCTCAGCTCCGCACCCTCCCCGATGCCGAGTGCGTCAATGGGCGTGTTGTGGACGTCGAGGGCCCTGGCGCCGAGCAGCAGCTTGAACGTCTGGTGGGACTTGAGACCCAGGGCGTTGCGCAAGCCGTCGCGGACGTCGGAGACTCGGCAGTTGGCCGGTACAGACAATGGAATACTCGTCCCACCAACAGTTTGCACGTTGAGCGAAATAGTTGCTTCATCTGCACAGGAAGCCTCCATTTCTCTCGCTGCGATGAGCGCTCGCGTGCAACCAGTGCAAATCAATGAGATTGCCAACCAAGCTTGAGCCAAAATAGCCCCCAGATTGCTCAATAGGTTTTCAAAAAATGCCTCACGAGGCCTCCAAAAAACAGTCAAAAGAGGGCCCTATGAACTAAAATCAATGACTTTCCAAAATTGTGGGAAGCTTTTGGCGTTCTCGCCTTGTCGGCTTCCAAACATTCCAAGACATCCCAAGAGGCCCGAAAGATCGCCCAAGATATATCCAAGAGGGCCCCAAACATATCGAAAAGGGCCCCAAGACCGCCCAAGAGGTTTCCAGAACAGTCCAAGAGGCCCTCCCTACGGCTCCAAGAGGGATTCCAGACGGGGGACCCGAACGGACATATGAGCCCTCGGCAAGAGAGTCCCCCACGAGGCCCCCAAGAAGTCTCCCAAGAAGCCCCAAGAGGCCCCCACGAGACCCCTGGCAAAGCCCAAAGGCCCCCGCGATGCTCCTCCCAAGAGGCCAAAACTACTCCCAAGATGGCCCCGAGACCACTCGTCGTCGTCGTCGTCGTCGTCGTCGTCGTCGTCGTCGTCGTCGTCGTCGTCGTCGTCGCAGCAGCCTGAGAACCAGACCTGGGCCCAGAGGGCCCGCTCGGTGGGCCCGGAGGGGGTCTGGGGCCCAGCGGCGCCCTCGCCGCCGCCGCCGCCGCCGCCGCCGTCGTCGTCTCCGTCGTCGCCGCCGTCGTCGTCGTCGTCGTCGTCGTCGTCGTCGTCGTCGTGGATCTCCTGACCCGGGTCCATCAAGACCCGGGTCAGCAGAAAACCAGAAAACTGCAATGCAGGAAAAAACACTGCAACGCAAGTCTTCGCAAACCCGTGTCAGCCAACATGCGCGGCCGCCTCGCGGCCACGAGCGGCTCGATAACCCGGGTCAGCCAGAGGGTTGGGCGCCCGAGTTATCCGGGGTAACTCGGGCCTGGGGTAACTCGGGTTTGGATTCACGAAAAACAAACGCGAGTTAGCCCTGACCCGAATTATCCCTGATGAGTTGGGGCTCTGGACGCCCGAGTTATCCAGGGGGTAACTCGGGCCCAGGGTAACTCGGGGTCGGATTCCCGAAAAACGAACCCGAGTTAGCCCTGACCCGAGTTACCCCTGATGATTCGGGTCTCTGAAGAGGGGGTCTTCGCAGGATCCTGAGGGATCCTGTGCCCTGGCTGACCCCCGTTTGCATTGACCCCCGTCTCGAGGCTCCCGACGCCTGCCATCGCCCGGACGCCCATTCCCTGTGTTTTTTGTCGGCTTCGTGCGTGGCTTTTTCTCCAACTGGTCAAGGATGCTCCTCGATGGCCCTCGCCGAAGGAAACATGCACACGTCCGAGCGATGCCAAGGACGTCGTTCAGGCTCGGCGGCACCGGCCGCACGGCCTCTCCACCAGTCTCCTGGCCGCGCCCACGACTGTGGCGATGGTGGCCTGCAGCCCCGCCGCGCCGTCCCCGCCAGCGCTGGCCGCCAGCCAGGGCGCCAGCTACTCGGCCGGCGCGGCCGCGGGCGGGATCGCCGACGGCTTGCTCCACCAGCTGCGCGTCCAAGCGGCGAGGGCCGAGAGGGTGCCGGCATGGTGCAGCGTGGGCGAGCGAGCGAGCGAGGCGCTTGCTTTTGCAGGCTCGCGCGGCGCGGCGCGCGCGCCTGTGCCCGCCTGGGCGAGGCACGCGGGGCCGAGGAGGAGGAGGAGGAGGAGGAGGAGGAGGAGGAGGCAGAGCTCTGGCGGACTTTGGCGGAAAGCGAGAGGCCCAAGCTCGGGAGGTGCAGGCGCGACCACCGCCCGTTGCACGCGGAAGGAGGCGGGGCGCACCGTGGCCCCCGGCCTCACCCGGGGCGTCCCCGCCGATTTCACGGGCGAAGAGCGGTATGAAATAAAGTTTTTCGCTGTCGGGGGCGCCTGTCCCAGGGCGGCTGGAAAGCTTATACCCTTATGGTGGCACCGTAGGGGTATAAACTTTCCAGCCGCCCAGGGGCAGGCGCCCCCGACAGCGAAAAAAAATTATTTTACACCGTTCTTCGCTCGCTGAGAGGTGGGCCGCACGGTGGCCCCCGGCCTCGCCCGGGCGTCCCCGCCGATGGCGTGCCGAGAGGTGCTGGGATCGCGTGCCGGAGCCGGCAGGCGTCCAGCAGCGGCCCGCCCTCTCACGGACCGCGGGGTGGCCTCGGGATCCCCGACGCCCTCACCGCGCGGTCCGTCACCGCGCGGCCTTGGAGCCTCGGAGGCCCCGGCTGCCCGAGAGACGTCCTCGGGAAACGACCTGAAGACAAGGACCCCAGAACCGTGCAGTGACCAAGCGGTGTGGTCAGCAAGCGGTGTGGCCACCTCACCATGTGCAAAAGGACACAAACAGCACCGCATAACCAGAAACTTTGGGCGCTCCGCGCGGGTTTCTTGGATCCGTGCTGGACCCCCCCCCCTCCCCGGCGCGCGGCGCGCGCAAGGGGCGGCGCTGGAGGCGCCGTCAGGGGGGCCCAGTGCAGATCGAAGAGACCAGCTCATGCCGTTGTTACTTATCTTCTTCGGAGGGCCCCGCGCGGAGCGCCAGAAGCTTACGTTATGTTTCCGCCGTTGTTTCCTTCTTCGGATTTGTAACCAGCCTCGAACGTATCCCTATCCCTAAGATGGGCGAGCAAAAAGCGAGGACAATCCCAGGGACAGGCCCTCAAAAACTGAGGGAATCCTGAAGATCGGCATCGAGGCGAGGTGATGTCAAACTTAGGGATAGGGATATGTTCCAGGCTGGTGAATTTCGGGGGCGGCCAAGAGGGGGGTGTCCAAGAGGGGGGGGTGCAAATCATGACCGGCGGCATGTGCGCGGCGCAGCGGGGGGGCCAGGGACGTAATGAAATGAGAAGAGGCGCCACGAAATCTGGGGAGATATCATGGCCCCCGCCATGCTATCCACCCCCCCCACCCCCTTCTTTTCCGCCCCCGAGAATCTGGGGGCCCCCGAGGCTGGGAGCGGAGGCGTCGCGCCCCTGGGCCGCCCAGAGGCTGCCGCGCTGCGGCGCGGTGGAGAGAGCCGTGCTCGGCGCCAGAAGGCGCCCCCCCGGGGCGGCCCGGCGGCCGACCGCCCGCGGCCGCGGGGGCCGCGGCACTGCGGGGCGATTGCCTGTCTCGGCGGCCCGCGCTCACCCACACGTTCCGGCCCTCCGTCCTCCTCCGTCCCCTCCTCCTCCTCCTCCTCCTCCTCTTCCTCCTCCTCTTCTTCCTCCTCCTCCTCCACCTCCTCCTCCTCCTCCCCCTCCTCCTCCTCCCAGACGTAGAGCCAGTGCTGGTAGAAGCCATCTCGCGCTCCAGTGTTGAGTCTGACCCCACTGCCATTATGCGAGCCAAGCAGTAGGCGTGGCAGGAGAAGTGGTAGGATCCCGTCGATTCGATTTCGTACAAAGCTAAGAGATCCAAGGGGCCCTTAAGATAGCCAGAGAGGACCCTTTGGACCTCATCGGAGCGTTTCAGATTCCTGGTAGTTGTCCCAGGGCCCCTGCGAAGAAGGTCCCAGGGATTGATGCCTTGAAGGTTTCTGAGATCAGGATGCCTCCGCAGGAAGGTATTTGGGAGCTCACGTCTCTCCTAGAAACTGATATGTTGCCCGAGCCCGACCAAAGAGGAGACCGCACGGTAGGAATGGTGCCCCATGTTATCAGGCCATGGAGTAGGACTAGAGTTAGGTGGGGCATGTCCCCCTACAGGCGGATTTTGGACGAAAATTTTACAATACTCCCAAAACACCCCCAAATAGCCCCAAACAGTCAAACAGATACTCGCCCCCAGACTATGTTTCTACTATGTTTGAATATTCCTCTTGTGGAGGGACAGGCCCGCCTTAAGACTAGAGCTGGCCTCGTGGCATCCGCTCCGGGGAACGGCCGTCACAGGCAACTCGGCACTGCGAGTAGCATCGCCACGAGACCCTCTCGGCGAGACCGCGGGGATCTCTGGAGTGCAGGCTGCGACCGCCCTGCTTGCTGCCGACCAAAGAGATGATGCTCTCTCGGGACGGGCGAAAGGGGGGGATAGCGACAAGGGGGTTTGAGGATCAGCTCATGTAGCTGACTTTCCCGGTGCCTCCCGGCGCCGGAGGCGCCCATGCATCGAGGAATGGGCCCGGCGGCGGGGCCGAAACCAGCTGCATGCAGCAAGTTTCGTAACCCCCTCTTTCCCAGTCCCCCCCTTTCGTCCGGCCCGACTCTCGTGGCCTTAGACTAGGCCCAAGCTTCCTTCGCGCCAAGGCTCTTGAGGAGCCAGGGCGCGGCGCCAGTTCTGCAATCCCAACCCGCACGGTCCACTGTTGCGCGGTCGAGCTTTCGGGGTCCCGTCGGCTAAACTGCGGTTGTTCCCTGCAGTGGACCGCACCCACGGAGAGGTGAACCTGGGGTCGTTAGCAAGAGCTGGGGGCGCGGCTGATGGTATGATTGGCAGGCGTGGCCGCGTCGGGTCGACAAAAATTGGCGGAAGAGGTGCAGGATGCGAAGATGGGCATTTCGGAGAAGGCTGTCCTCGAAACCTCCGCTGAAACCAGGAACGGAGGGCGCCAGCAGCTGAATGAAAGCAGGCACCCAAGCAGCAGCCTCTTCGGTCGACTCAGGCTGCGGCACCAGCTTGGACAGAGCTTGGGCATTGGAAGAAGCTGAGTGCAGCTGCAGCAAGGCAATCGAGAGGTTTTGTAGATTTGATTGGCAAACAGAAGGTTTTAAACCGAAATCAATCGACAATAGTTGATTGGCAATCAAGAGATGATTTAGCTTGAGGAAGCTTCGCAGGTCGGCGAGGCTAGCCAAGATCTTGCAGTCCGCTTGGACTGCGGGGGCCTTGCCCCAAGCAGCACATGGGCACCAGTTTCGGCGGTGGACAAACCTCCCTTTCATAAACCTCCCCTTAGTGAATTCGGCCTGGGACCGAAACCGACGGACATGGACCAGCAGAAATGGCGGCCGCGACGCCCTCTCGCGAACCGAAAACGGCATTCCCTAATCGACGTGTCAGGGTAGAAGGTCGATTCACCTCCGACAGTTGCACGGTCTGAGCCCCAGTGTTAGGTCGGGCGTGTCCTCGTACAGGCAGGTTTTGGACGAAAAATGGAAACTGTCAAAGTGATTCCACAATACTCATTAGATACTGAAAGTTCGTCCCCGTATTAGTTGTTCACTATGTTTGCATATTCCTCCTGTAGAGGGACATGCCCGACTTAACCCTAGTGCCAGACAGAGTCTTCGCAGGCGAGCAGGGCAAGCCACTGCAGGAGGCAAGTCGGGCAGATGTGCAACCACGATCCAGGGGATGCACCAAGGGACCAAAGACACAGGCCTGGAGCTACAGTGGGGGGGGCGGGCAGAACAACGCAAGCTGTGTGACAATAATGATAAGGAAGCCAGGAACTGCACGCGGCGCTCTAAGCTCTGAACAGCTTCTCCCATCCCTCATGTCAACGCTGACTTGTGATATTCTGTCCTCCTGACCTTGCGGTTCCCGTTCAACGCCAACATTGCCATGTAGGGCGACGGGGATTTCGCTTCGAGGTGGCGTCGCGATCTTCATGCAGCCGCGCGCGGCCAAAGCAACTTGCAATATTTCGTCCTCCCAGCGATGGAAACCGGATTCCACGCGCGCAGATATCCAGATCGACATTGGAGCTCATCAGCCCAATTAGTTTCTTCCCTCCGCCTGGCAGGCAGCAAGCGGGATGGTCACGCGATCTGCCTAATCATGGCGCGACGCGATTGAGCTTACAAGGTGGAATGTGTGTTTTGACTTGTGTGGCCCCTCGGGAAACTCGTTTGCGGCCTCCCGATCGACTGGTCTTGCCGCTGTCGCGGGGGAGGGCATCCGACCCCCGATCGACGGTTCGCGCCCGAGGCGATGCTGCCCGTTCCTTTGCGCGGAGGGCCGTGGCCAGCCAGCGACCCCGAAGAGCGCGTGCTCTCTCGTGGCTCTGGCTGTCGACAAGGACTTCTCGCACGCGCGGTCGCCCTCGCACTGGGGTGGACGGCGCCGGTGGCGGGGCGGGAGGGGCGGGGGGGGGGCCGAAGTCTGCAGCTCGGGAAACGAAAAATCACACCAGCAGAAAAACTTGAAGGTCCGCGCGGATTTCTCGGATCCGCGCTGGACCCCCCTCCCTGGCGCGCGGATCGCGCCAGGGGCGGCGCCAGAAGGCGCCGCGAACCTCACAAGTTTTGTGTTGATGTCATTGTACGTTCCCCTTCCAGCCGCCGTCGACCCCTGCAGGACATGCGTTTTGGCCAGGACGCCGACCCACTCCCAGCCGCCCTAAGGCCACGCCCAGGCCACGCCCGGCCGTCTCCCAGCCGCGCAGGAGGAGCCCCAGAGCTCGGTGCTCGGATCCAGCGCCTCGACTCGACCAAATGCCACGGCGACGGCGACAACTCTCCCTCTCCTCCTCCTTCTCCTTTTCCTCCTCCTCCTCCTCCTCCTCCTCCTCCTCACCGTCCTCCTCGTCCTCCTCCTGGTCTCTTTCTCCTCCTCCTGCTCCTCCTCGTCCTCCTCCTCCTTCTCCTGCTCCACCTGCTCCACCTCCCTCCGCTTCCTTCTCCTCCTCCTCCTCCTCCTCCTGCTCCGCCTCCTCCTCCTGCTCCTCCTCCTCCTGCTCCTCCTCCTGCTCCTCCTGCTCCTCCTCCTGCTCCTCCTCGTCCTCGTCCTCCTCCTCCTCCTCTCCTCCTCCTCCTGCTCCACCTCCCTCTGCTTCCTCCTCCTCCTCCTCCTCCTCTCCTCCTCCCCTCCTCTCCTCCTCCTGCTCCTCCTCCTCTCCTCCTCCTGCTCCTCCTCCCTCCGCCTCATCCTCCTCCCTCCCCCTCCTCCTGCTCCTCCTCCCCCTCCTCCTCCTCCTCCTCCTCCTCCTCCTCCTCCTCCTCCTCCTCCTCCTGCTCCAACTCCCTCCTCCTCCTCCTCCTACTGATCCTCCTCTCCTGCTCCTCCTCTCCTCCTCCTCCTCCCTCCTCTCCTCCTCCTCCCTCCTCCTCCTCCCTCCTCCTCCTCCTCCTCTCCTCCCTCCTCCTCCTCCTCCTCCTCCTCCTCGTCTTCCTCTCCCTCCCTCCTCTCTCCTCCTCCCACTCCTCCTCCTCCTCCTCCTCCTCCTCCTCCTCCTCCTCCTCCTCCTCCTCCTCCTCCTCCTCCCATCTTCTCCTCCCCTCCTCCTTCTCCTCCTCCTCCTCCTCCTCTTCCTCCTCCTCCTCCTCCTCCTCCTCCTCCTCCTCCTCCTCCTCCTCCTCCTCCTCCTCCTCCTCCCTCCTCCTCATTCCTCCTCCCCCTACCAAGATGGGTATTCGGCGGACGGGGGTTTCTGTTTTTTTACAGGAGGACCACGCCTTCTCAGACGATGCCACGACGAGGATAAGATCAGACAGGGGTAAAAACGAGACCTCTGTGAGATCCGGCAGCTCTGGAGGACTCCTCGGGCGCCGCGGCCTTCTCGGGGCGCTCTGGAGCGCCCTCAGAGCGTCCCGCAGCGTCCTGGAAAGGAGTTGTCCTGGCCCCGCCCGAACTTCCTGGCCTCGTTCTCAACCTCGTCCTCCTCCTCCTCCTCCTTCTCGTTCTCCTCCTCCTCCTCCTCCTGCTCCTCCTCCCTCCGCCTCCTCCTCCTCCTCCTCCTCCCTCCGCCTCCTCCTTCTCCTCCTCCTCCTCCTCCTCCTCCTCTCCGGCGCCGGCGCCGGGGGGGGGCGGGCGCGCGCGCCCGCGGGCCTCCGGCTTCTCGGCCGCCGCCGTGTCGCAGTTCTTGCACACGGCGATGTGCTTCTGGTAAGAGCCGTACCTGGCCGGGGCAGAAACGACCCTACCCTGGGTTACAAGTGCGTGTTTTGTAAACCTCCTGGGAACCCCCAAAGCCTAGAGCCGCCAGGACGCGGCACATCACGCAGGATTTACCCTGTCAGCCCACAGGAGTTTCACCGCACAGCGCCTCGTAAACCAGGGTCGGGGCGTTTTTTAAGCCATTGAGGAAAGGGGGAGGGGGAGGAGGAGGGGGATGGGGAGGAGCAGGACGGGGGGCGAGGAAGGGGGGGGATGGGAAGGCGAGGGAGGGCCAGGAGGGGCGAGTGAGTGAGCGACGCCAATGCCGAAGCGAGCTGGCCAGGATGGGGGAAGAGGAGGAGAAGGACCGTGAGGATGAGGAAAAAGAGTGGAGGAGGAGGAGAAGGAGGAGGAGGAGTAGGAGTAGGAGGAAGAGAGGAGGAGGAGGAGGAGGAGGAGGAGGAGGAGGAGGAGAGGAGGAGGAGAAGAAGCAGGAGGAGAAGAAGCAGGAGGAGGGGGCAGGCGCGACTGAAACGCTCTTGTGCGATCGTGCCCGTCTTTCATGAATTGCGCCGATTCGCAACCCACTTGAGAACACACAGGTCAGGGCCAACGCGACGCGTGCCCTGTAACGCTAATACAGAGTACTGCTTCTTACCGCAGAGAGCGTCGGAACCCCAAGCCACATGGCAACCTGAGAGAGGAGAAAACACAAATAAATGAAGACAACTAGCAAAACAACATCCGAGTAGGCCCCGGTCCACGCGAGGGCCGCAAACTCGGCCGCCTGAGGAACCTGAGACCACGGAGCCCACAGACCCTCTCAGGGCATCCAAGAGCTCAACCCTTCCCCCTACCACGACCACGCCCCAGCCGTCCCGACAAATCTGTTTTGACCACCCGCCTACGACACGAGCCATCCAAGAACAGAGAGCCCCGGGAAATATCCCAAGGAGAAACCCGTTCATCACCGCAGGCAGGAAGAGGAGGGGGAAAGGGGAAGGTCGAAGGCATTCCAGACGAGACATCCACCACGATCACACAAAAGTTTAGGGGCATCATCACCAGGATGCCGGAACGCTCCAGACATGAACAGTTTTTTCTCACACCCGTGGCTGGCGACGTCCCAGGCAGCCTCTTTCGACACAGGTGGGGATCTTGTCGCGTTGCTCAGAGCGCGCGAGATATCAAAAATGCGCGCGATTGCTGATGATGGTCTCGAGCTCCTTGACAAAGCGGGCAACGACCGAACACTTTATGCCAGGCATCAGCAGCATCTGAACTTGTTCAAACAAAACCCTAGTGGTCGGCGCCTTCATGACCCGCTTGGACATGGCAGGATACATGCGAGATCAAGACCCAAACTAACCTGATACCCAACCCTGCACTTCTCACCAGAGTCCAGCCAAAGGTTTCTCAACACCGCGTCGCGGCACAGGCCCTTGACAACGCGGGGGAAGAACAGGGTACGGAGATACCCCTGCCGAGATCACCCCTGCGAAACGTGAACTCAGGCGTCGTCCAACCGAAGCGATAAATACACGTGCGAGGAGCTGGCTGGGGGGCCCTAGCCTTTGCCCACGAAGTGATTGTCGCTGCTGGAAATGTGCATCCAGCCCACGAGGAACCATGGGGTGGAAACCCTCGCGGCACAAAGCCGAAGATTGTTCGAGCACTTGATGAAAGGCGCCAAACGCGCGCCAACAGGGGCCGCTCTCGTGCACACAGAGCACAGCTATAGAACGGCCCTGGGGCATCGGCTTCGCGCAAGACATCGCAGCTCCACGAAAATCCCGGACCCCCCCGATGGAAAGCCCCCGAAACGTCGGCCCCGTAGGCCCCCCAGCAAGCGGGCCAGCCGCGACAACGTTCCAGCTGCGCCCCCCGAGATCCCCTGTGCTCCCTGGGCCTCCGAATCATGCGCAAGGCGGTGGCAAGACGAGGATGGAACTTGGCCGCGCGGCCTCTGCCTGGCGCGCGCGCTGCGCGACCAGCAAAGTCAACGCCGAGGCTCGCGGCGCCTCCCACTTGTTGCTCGGGACCTGCCAGAGGGCCTTATTACCCCGGAGAAAGGAAGACGCCACCCCACGGTCGCGGACCAGCACCTGGACCCTGCCCACTGCCTCTCGAAAAAAGAAAAAACAAGACATCGGCGATGCAGGAGCGCAAAGCACGAGCACCAGCAAGAAGGGATCGCACCTCCGCCTCAGCTTCCCCACTGAAGCAAGCCCATGGCGGCCAATGTCAGCGTCGAAGTCCTGGCCTGGCAGACGCGGGATTGCGTCGGGGCATTCCATGGCAATGCCCGAACGAAGCTGGTCGCGACCGGCAACCTGGCGACCATGCCCCGGACGACAAAACACAGGCCTTCGAAAGAGCCCCCTGGCGAAAGGCATCGGACAGACGCATACGAACGAGTGGAACGTCTGGCGACGGCCACAGGGAAGCCGAACCCTTGCAGCTGCCAAACAATAATCCAAGGCAAATGTACTCGCACGGATCCCCGAGGCCCTGTGCCGCGCAAGACCGAAGCCTGCCTCGGCCATGTGGGCCCGCCCCAAAGCCGCGCCAGACGCCCCCCCGCTCGCCCCCGCCGCCAACAATCCTCGAGGGGCTGCCGACTTCCAGCGTTGCGGCGCTGGGATAAAAACCTGGGCGCCCGCGCGCTCTCGGAGCCCTCGCGCGCATGGCGCGCGAACGCCATCGCGGCCCCCTTCCAGGAACATCCGGCGCGCGAGTTGGGCTGACCTTGCCCGGGGAAATGGCCCGGAACTGCGCCGCGAAGACTCGCGGTCGCAGTCGCGTGGCGTGGATTATCGCAAAATGGGTTCACAATTTCGCGCGACCATGTCCTCGTCGCTTTGGCCCGGGACATTCTTCCATTTTTCGCCAGCGTGCCAGGAATGCCCTTGCACGGCGCCCGGCGATCTCTGCGCGGCCATGTTTGGTTGGGGCTATCATTTAATCATTAAGTGCTAACTGTTGGACGGGCACGGTTTATTTTTGTTTCTAGCAACTATCTGAGCACGCGAATGTTCATGATGGTCGCGTTGAATTACGCGCTGATGCGCGGCTCCAGTCACGCGCGCACCGCGCGCGCACGCATGGCTGCGATGATGTTTCTATCATGTCTCGTGCGCCGCGCGCAGCCGGTGCCGGCGCTCGCGCAAATGAGCGTTTACTCATACTTCTCGCCCTCGCTGCACCCGCCCCCCCTTCGCACCCCCCGCCTCCTCTGTCCGCTGCGGCGGCCGATCCCCCCCCCCGCCCCTCGGGGTCTATCCCTGGCCGAGCGCCGAGGGCTGAATCCTTGGTTCAACGCGTTAACGCGGCGGTCGCAGACATCGCAAGACGTCGGGGCGCGCCGCAGGCCCCGCGGGAAACTCTGGGATCGGCGCGCGGAATTCCCCGGCGGGCGCGCAAACGCCTGCCGGTGCCAACCCCTCCAGGCGCCGCGCGAAGGAGCGCCTGGCCCGCCCTCGAAGATGGCGCCAGCTCGGGAAGACACCCATGGGAAACTGAAGAGAAAAAAAAAAAAAAAAACAGCACGTTTGCCCCAGCAGGCCATTAAAAACCCAAGGGGCCTGGAGCAGCAAGGGGCCCGCGCCCTCCGCGGACCAGAGCGGCGGCGGCGGCGGGGGCCGCCCGCGCCAACGGCAAAGGAGCGACAGCGCCTCCCGGACAATTCGCGCAACTCAGAAGGCTCGAGGACATGCGCTGGATCGACAGGCTCATCGTCTAAAACGACCCCTTCTCTTTCGCCCCGAATCGCAGCACGCGCGTCAGCCTCAGTCCTCGAGAAGGCCACGGGGTCCGCGACGACGATGCCCCCGGGGGTCGCGGCGGCGGTCGGGGCCCAGGGCTCGGGGCACGCCAAGCGCCCCCACTACCCTGACAATGCCCTTCTCGAACCCGCCCCTGCTGAACAGCCTCAGCCTTCGCCGACGCCGCCCTCGAACGTTCTTGATCGACCGAAATCACCAAAATTATCAAACTCCTCCCGATGGCCCCTCTAATCCGTCTGAAACATGTCGCTGGAGCCCTGGCGGGCAAGAGCGCTTGATTCCGACCCGCCAGGCAAAGCGTCGGGCGATCGCTCGCCTCGGTCATCCAGCTGAGGGGGGCGACCAGACACCGCAAACGGCACCGCGCCAGCGCGGCCCAGTGACTGGGCGGACCCCGCCAACATACAGTCTGAACTGGACGCGGAAAGCGCGCGGGGACAAGCGGCAAAGGCTCATCGAGCAGGCGAGCCAGCGGTAGCCTGGGAAAAAACGCGCTATCCAGAATAGGATCACAAATCAAACACCGGCAGACACCTGCGCGATGACGTCGGCCAGGGCACGCACGGCAGGAGAACGAACAGCACCATCGCAAGTCACGTAGCTCTCGAGCGTCTGCCAACTGTGCTTACAGCCACGCGATGAAACCAAGGTGGGGCACCTGTTCTTCCCCGGCAAGTTTCGGCGCAAGTTCCCCCGCGTTTGGGGCGTTTCCGTCGGGCGCCGGAGACGGGCAGGTCGACTTCGAGAATCCGTCCCATATCGGTTTTGGCAACGTCTGCCCACAGAGGCAGGATCGCGCGCGCCCTCGGCCCCAACCAAGAGATGGGCCCACCTCCCTGACGGCCGCGAGGGCTTCCTCGGCCTCGGAACAACAGCAGACCAGTCCCCGAGGCGCGGCTGGGAGGCCACAAGGGCCGCGGACGGCAGAGCAAGGGCCCGACGGATGGCGGTGACTTTCGGGGGGGCCGTCGACGGATGGAACTATAAACAGCCAAGGGCTTGCGCGGCGAGAGATCAAACTCAGCCGCGACACGGACCCCTGGCAAGCGTCGGCTCATAGGTTCCGAAATTACAATGAAGAAACATGCGCGCCGAGAGGCCCCCCTTCGACGGGCAAGCGGGCGCGGCCCGTGGTCGAAAAAGGATGCCGCCAACGCAGGCGGAGTTCCTGGCTAAAAACAACAAGGCCCCCGCCCTCACGAAATCTCATCTGCGCGCTTCCAGAAACCGACTCAGC